AAGGGGAGGGGGGGGGGGGGGGGGGGGGGGGAAGAGACAAACAGAGAAAGGGAGGAAGAAAAGGAAACAGAGAAAGACAAAGACCAAGGGCCAAAAGGAGTGGTTAGAGCAGATATTTGAAAGAGAAAAATAGAACATCCCCTCACCCCACAAATAAAAAGTTTGGTTAGTACAGAGTCTGACAGGAGAAGGGCTGGCACAGGCAGATAAAAAGGAAAGATTTATGTGGAGAAATATTTTTTTCAGGAGAAAGGAAATGCTGTGAAGAAAGGGAGTACAAAGGAAACTAGCTCTAAGAAGTACGGATGAGTCTGAATCGTACGTGTGCCAATTATTTCTTTCTTTGTGTACCACTAACCATGCATGACAGATATAAAATAGAAATCCTTGAGGATTTTAAAAGTGGGGTGGTGGGACTTTGGGCGAGGGGGAGAGATAAGGAGCTAATTAGTAGATTAGTGTTTTTGCGGTCACTTCACCAGCTCCTAAACTGGAATAAGAGTGAAGGGGTGGGAGAAGGGAAGGAGGAGGAGGAGGATGAGAAGATTGTTCGACCTCTTTTTTATCTGGGCTTGGAGGGAGTCTGGTAGAATTAGCAGGGATGGTGATCTGAAACCACAGGGGGTCTGGACGTATCCAGGGCACATAGACATTAAAACTCTCCCTCCCCTTCACACATTACTGCCCAACTGACTGACTTAGAAGACAAAAGAAGATTGTACAATGAAAATGAAAGTACACTATTTAAGACTGTTGAAATTTAGGATAATATGGGAACAATATAGAAGACTTATATATATATATATATATATACACAAACAAAGAAAAACAAGTAGAATAGAAAGCTAGAGTTTTTTTTTTTTTTTTTTTTTTAAAAAAAAAAAAAAAAAAAAAAAAAAAATCAATTAGATTAGAAAAATACTTGTCTTGCCTATTAAAAATATCTAAAATCTATGATAAAAATACATAATATACTATATACAAAATATAATCGAAGTAATTTATTTGAAAAGGTTTATTTGCAATGCCATTAGCAAATAGTCCCTAATATTAGGATATAATAT